ATACTTTGGCCACCAAATGAGAAGGGAGCACTCACTGGAGAAGACCCTGATGCTGGGAAAGATTGAAGGTCAAAGAAGATGGGGACAGCAAAGGAGGAGATGGTTAGACAGTGTCACTGATGCAACAAACATGGAATCAAGCAAACTCCGGAGCACAATGGAAGACAGGAGGCAGGGCCAGCCCGAGGGGTTTGTGCGACCTAGGCGAGGCCGCCTCATGGTGCCCCCTCAGATGCCAACCTCCCGGTGGGGCCTGGAGACTTCCCAGCTGGCCGCCTGGGGGGGGAGAGACAGAGTGATGCCACGTGACCGTGCTCCTCTCCCCTCCCTTCCTCCCCTCTGGGGAGCCCCCAGCCAGCGGCCACCCTAGTCAGCTTCCTGGGGAGCTGAGGGATTTCAGCCCCAGCTGAGCGGAGCCGGCCTGCGCCAGAGGAGAGGGGTGGGGAAAACTGAAGTGTGCTCGGCAGGGACAGTGGGGGCCTTTGGGGGGGGTCGGCAGGGCAGTTAGCATCCTGGACGGAGCTGCGCCCTAGACCAGACACTAGCTGGCCTAGTGAGAGAGCTGGCCCTGACAGGAGGGCCTGGTGTGATGTGGTCCATGGGGTCGCAAAGAGTCAGACTCAGCTGTGCGACTGAACAACAAGAAGGCACTGAATAAGGAACTGCCAAACAAGGTTTATTCTAAGCCTTTCCCTCCTATTGCACAAACAACTTACACCTTGCCAGTGGTTGAACTATTTCTAGACAAAAGAGAACAGGGGAAAGAGAATGAAAACGGCTAGAGAAGAGAAAAACACAGAAGGAAAGGAAAGGGAGGAAGACTGATGCAACAAATGTACAAAGGGGCATATTCCACAGTAACACAGACACACATAAAAAGCCATTTCAGCCCATTTCCTCAGTGTTCACCAGTCATAAATTGTACAACACATATGAAATAGACATATAAGAAAATGCAGTGTGGCTTACTCCTGACCAGGCTAAACAATTGTAATCTACAACAGTGCCAGCCCCAAACCATTTAAGGCTTTTAAGACTCCAATTAGGATGACTGACATCCAGAAGCAAACTGGCAGCCAGTACAAATCAGTGTGCTGAGATCCCAGCAGCAAGCCTTGGATAACAGCCAGGAAGCCTCCTCTGGGACTGGAACAAACAGAAGTTTCTCAGAACTTTTCAAAGGCTGCCACACATAGAGTGCATGACAGTAGTGGAGTCTGAATGTAACTAAGGCCAGGTCAGACTCCTCCAGGAAGGGATGCAGCTGGTATATGAGCCTAAACTGACAGGAACCACTCCTGATCACGGCAGCCACCCACTAACCAGGAATGAGACCAAACAGCAAGACTGGATCTTCAAGGGAAGTTCAACCCCACTCATGAAGGTGTGACCACAAATTTCCCGCTCCACACTTGTACAAGCAGGATAATCCTGCACGCACCTGCTTAATGTGGAAGTTTTATCCCCCCCCCCTTTTTTTGTTTTCTTATTAGGGAAAGCTCTGGGAACAGATGACTCCTTCAAAGGGAGTAGTAACACAAGAGACCATGGAGAGGAGACCCCATCAAGAGGATGTGAATTCACTCCAACTGCTGGCACTTGGAGGCCTACCCATGGGGGAAGGCAACTCCAGCACCACAAAGGCAATTCACTCCGAAGAGAGGCATTTTAGTGCACTGTGACCTCACCGACAATCCCAATGAGGAAGGCAGCATTTCTGACAAGAGCAGTGTTCAGCTTCTTGTGCAGGTAAATCCCAGCGGCTCCCCTCGCCCACGATCCCAATTGGATTGACTGGATCTAGGATGACTGGTCTGTAATTCAATAAGAGGGCACAGGGGTTAGAGGGCTGCACACAAGAGCAGACAACCTCCATTTACAGCACTGCTCAACCATGAAGCTCATCACATCACCATAAGCGACTTAAGCCTTAGTTTTTCCATCTGCTGTTAAATGAGAATGTTACCTTTAAAATACTGCAAACCATTCTGAGCCTTAAGTCATCACACAGCAGCCAGACTACACCCCTCACTGTACATAAATCTCTTTGCCAAAGGTCAGATAAATGAGTCAAATGGGCTGGATTGTATGAGGAATAGAATTTTCAGGCATCCTAAAGATCAAATGCTATGTAGCTTAACTCACAATGAAGCAAAAAGATCAAGAAACAAATAATTCTACTGAAACTGTGATCTTTTAATTGGTACCCCAAATATAAATACATAAAAAAACACAAATAAAAGACCAAGATTACCCAAAAGTACGGATCAAACGTATCTCGACTTCTTCAGTGGTCTCCAAAATGTGAAAACAGTATTTTCCCACAGAGTTTGCAAAATAAATCAAGTGGCAACAACATAAAATAGAATACCTATTTCAAAAAAGAGTATAAAACAAAGCCCCTTCAAGGGGCTACTACAAGGACCTACTACAACTATTGCTACCATGGTATATCGATATAACAATATTGTAGTGCCAATTTCTTTTAAACACAAAAAAGACCTCAGTGGCAGGAGAAGGAAATGGCTGCTGCAGGTGTTGCAGAATTAGGGCTGGATTGAGACTCAGTCCTCTGCTAAATTCTGCAAAGCCTCTGGTACACCTATAATACTTTAATATCTAATTAGCCTATATAGTTGAAACTTTGGTTTTGTTCTGCTCCCAGGAAGCTTCAGGCCACTGCTATGTGCTGTGTGTGGCATTCACTGGACACAACCTTACCTCACATGGCTTTTGGCATACTGGGAATGTTTATACTTTGCAGAAGTCAGATGTCACTATCAAATTTTACATAGATAAGACTATCAAAAACTAGCTTCCTTGATTCTGTGAGTCACCCTGGCTTAACCCAGCTTTCCTTGAGTTTCATGACCCCAGAGATAGAAAGGTCTGACTTTGTTGTATACGTCAGATGTATGTCAAATGCTCATCACAGACTTGATTGACAGAGTAGCTTCCATGGATGAAAAAGAGTACTTAATATCTGAATTTAGTGTTGTTCTGATCAATCACCCAGCAATTATGGGTCTTGGCAGAACAACCAAGGATATCTTTTATAGAATGACAAGTACACTATTTATGTATTGGAGTTGTACTGAAATATTCTGTGTTGTATACTGAAATGCTACAAAAATGTTTTCTGACTCAAGAGTGTGTAATAGAATAAAATGAGTCTCTCTCTCTCTCTCTCTCTCTCTCTCTCTCTCTCTCTCTCTCTCTCTCTCTCTCCCCCCCCCTTGGAAAACAGGCTTCCCCTTCCACACAGCAGCCATCCAGGCTTTACTCCGATCTTTGGAGCAAGGCTGGTCTGAGAAACATCAGGGGAAAGTTGGGGAACTCTCTGGAGGCGCACAAATGCACTATGAAGCTGTGGAGAAGCAGGAGGGGAAAACCCACTTCCCAAAGCCATTGAACTCTGGGTACACAATCCATGTGGAAGCCACCCAAAAGAAACAGAACCCAGGAGACACTTACACAGACGTCCCCCTTTCCTTGATTCTGTCCCTGGCACATCACTGTCCTCACTTTTGGTTCTGCTTTTTTGTCTCTTTGGGATGCCATGTTAAAGTTTTGTGTGGATTGTTTTCATTTAATTTTTTTTTTAAAAAATTGGGTCAGATAGATAGAAGGGCTCCATTTGCACATTGGGTAGCCAATTGAAGACTGGAAAATTCCTGGAGATTTGGGGGTGGAGCCTGGGGAGGCACAGGTTGGAGGGAACTCAAGCAAGGATGTGATGCCATAGAATCCACCCTCCAAAGTTACCATTTTCTTCATCGGAACTTATCTCTATAGTCTGGAGATCAGTTGTAATTCCTGGAGAACTACAGGTGCCACCTGGAGATTGGCAAGCCTGTTTATACATTAACAGGTAGAGCTTGTACTTCACACACACATACATCCCTTTGTAGTGCCAGATCTCCCACACTCACCTTGATCACCTTCAGCACCCGGGGCCGGGGTGCATCTTTGAAGCAATTCTTCCGCAGGAACTCGCAGATGATGTCGATGGCCCGGCACACCTGGCCCAGGAAGTCCTCGTTGGGCTGGAGATTTCCAGTGATGAACTTATCTAGCTTCCTTGCTTCTGTCGCATACAGCTCCATGGCAGAAAGGCAGGCCGGAGAGGGGATTCCGACTGGCTTCTGGAACCCACTGAGGGAGGAAAAAATCTACTGCACAGTTTTGGTCTGCTCTACCCTTTCACCTCCCAGCCCCTGGATCAGTTTCATTTTCCCCGAGTGCAGCTTTACTCAGAGCGGCAGACTTGATCCCTGGCCAAACTCAATGTGTGCATTTAAATCAACAGCTGCTGCTTCTGGGCAGATCCTGTCATCCCGCCCAGAACTCCATCCAGGCTCCCATTCAGGAATTCCCCCATCTCAGATGACTCAGTGGCAGGGGTCATTTTCTGCAGGAGCACACAGGAGCAGAGCTCCGGCAGTAAAGAGCCCAGGAGGCGGGCACATGCCACAAGCCCCACCCCCTGCTCCCAGCAGCCCTCAGTCAGAGCAAGAAGCAGCCAGGTAAGTTGCAGAGCCCCCCCCCCGGCTCCCCCGTCCAAAACAGTCCAGTGGCACTGTAACGATTCCTTGTTTTTGGTGTGTGTGTGTCTCTTTAAAAATTTGGTTGCATGGCTGTGGTAAGGAGACTAGAGTGGTTGAGAGAGGCAAGTGTGGTGTGATTGGTGGTTGACAGAGAGGGGGAGGGGGTTTGGAAGTGAAAATGAGTGGATGAGTATGTATGTCAGTCAGGTTTTACAGTTACAGGTTTTACAGTTGATAAGTTCAGTTGGTTCTGTGTGTGAAAGGAGAGACAAGCAGTTCTGTGTGTGAGGGAAGTGAGAAGCTGTCCTGTGTGGAATAAGTTAGTTCAGTGAGAAACAAAAGGAAGGCTGAGATAATAGGAACAAATAAATGAAAGTTTAATTGAGGACAAGTTATAGGAAAGGCTGTATGTCCTGGAGAGAAACAGTGAACATATATGACCTTGAGTTAAAGTGTTACAAAGTTACCTGAAAGATCCCTGTCAGTAAGGGAGCAGATTGTGTGTGATGCACCAAGCAATTGTTCATTATTTACACATTCATAGTTACATTGTTCTACCCTTTTATTTATGAATTATTTCAATAAATCCTCTTTTATTCAAGTATACCAGATCTGAAAGAAATACTTCCTCAGGACCACATAGTTCCTCATTAGCCTTGAACTCAGTCTACCAAACCAGTAAGAGCAGAAGTAAAAGTATAAAGGTTTGGAAATCCTTAAAATTTCCTGGTGGCAGCCTTATATACCCAGATAAACAGAATAAAAAGAACACTTTTAAAGGGAAACCAGTCCTCCCCAATAAGGAGGACGTCATAGGCACCTTTAAGACCAAGTTTTATTCAGGTACAAGCTCTCCCTCCTCTGCGAAGACAGATCTGCACGTTCCCCCCCTCCCTGATAGCTAGCAATCCAAAACAGTCCAGTGGCACCTGAGCGGTGGGTGTTGCCTTCTGACACACTTCTGGTGATGTCAGGGGGTGTGGCATATGCCAATGAGTTATGCTAATGAGCTCCTGCACCTCTTTTTCTACGAGATGACCCCCTGCTCAGTGGAACCGGGAAAAGACATCTGAACATCATTCGCAAGCTAGTGACACCCCACTGTAAACCTCCACACCGCATGGATGGTTGGCAGTGAGTCATCTCTTCGGCTTTGATTTCTTGCTGACTTGTCCAATTTCTGTTCCAGGGCCAGCAGCAAACCATCGAGGAGAGAAACTACAGGGTGGCTGGGGAAGGGGAGACGCTGCTGCTGCTGCTGTTGTTGGATGCGGCTTGGGATAGCTTGGAATGGTCAGCTGGTGTTTTTCATGAAGACCTGCCAAAGGATACACTGCTCCTCGGTCCATCACCAGGTCCGCTGTAGGCATGCAGACATTCCAAGGAACATATGCACCATCAGTGTGCACTTTATTTTTCAATGATGCACACTGAGTAATTCCTACAATACATTCAGCACATGTACAGGTGAATGTATGATCCAAACCCCACATTGTTCTAAGTATTGGTCCCCAGTTCTGTTTTCAAAGAATACCAGGGCCAGGAAGCAGAGGCAGGCTATCAAGCAACTTCTCTGAACATCCTCCATGCCCCAGTAGGAGTTGCCAGAGGTTGCCATGACTTCCAGGCACAGGCACACATACACACGCATGCACAAATGCAAAAATACCCCCCCCAAAAAAAAGTTCACCTGTGGTCCCACTCATCTTGTGTGACTGTTTTATCTCCTCCTCCTGTTGCCTCTCACTGTCCAAATTCAGACTGCAAATTTCATGGGGCAGGGATCTCTCTTTACTGCATAATTAAGTACTCTATACATTAGTAATATACGATATAAATATTAATAAAATAGTATTAATCAATCATACTAATTATTATCGATTTGCTTTGGAATAAACCTTTTTTTTGGTAAAACTGAGTATACTCTTTGGACTTCTGTTTACTGTGTGTTAAGTGCCCTCAAGTTGCTTCTGACCTATGGTGACTTTATGAATTAATGGCCTCCAAACCCCACTACTGTTAACAGCCTTGCAGATTGAGGGCCGTGGCATCCTTGGTTGAGTCAATCCGTCTCATGCTGGGTTCCTGCTGCCTTCAGCTTTTCTTGGCGTTATTCTCTTTTACAGGGAGTCTTGTCTTCTCATAACGCAACCAAAGTGCAATAGCCTCAGTTTAGTCATTTTAGCTTCTAGGGAGAGTTCAGTCTCGGTTGATCTAGAACCCATTTATTTGTCTCTTTGGCGGTCCACAGTATACGTAAAACTCTCCTCCAATACCACATTTTTGTGTACTGGATGGTCCTATGCAGCTCAAATCTTGCAAGCAAATCTTAAAAGTTTATTATCCAACTGGAGACTGCCTCAGGGTGAGACATTTCACCACTGAGCCACACGGTGGTAGCAAAGGATTTTGACTAAAAGTAGGCCTCAGTCATTCCTCCTCTTGTATTCTTGGGCGGCCTCCCCTTCATCTACATGAAGCTCCTTCAGTGGATCTCCCCAGTAGATTGTCACTCATCTTCCTTGGCAAAAAGGTGCTGTCTTGCCTTTCTGTCTCCCCTGCCACTCAAATGTCTTGGGCTGTTGCCTGCAGGCACTGGAAGTGTGGAAACTGCCAGTTGACCCAGGGAAAATCAGCACAGATTGCTCAGCCACTTGATCTGTGTAAAAGTGAGTTTTGAGTCCAGTAACTGTCAAACTCCTTTGCCATGGATAAAGAGTAATGCTGTGGACCACTGGGGAGGGCTGTAGCCAGGATTTTCGTTTTGTGGGGCATTTTTTTTTCTTGTGGGGCACCCATTATGCTTATACTTATACTTAAAAATAATAAACCACTGGAGATTTTGGGAGTGGAACCTGAGGAGCATGGGGTTTGGGGAGGGAAGGGACTTCATTGGGATATAATGCCATAAAGACCACCTGGAGATCACCTGTAATGCCAGGGGATCTCCAGCTACCACCTGGAGGTTGGCAACCCCAGGAGAGAGATTGGCTTTCCCCCCCCACCACCACCACCACCATGGAAAGTTATGGGAGAGAGAGAGATTGGCTTCCCCACCACCATCACCATGTCTTCTTTCCTTCCCCAGCCCTCCCTGCCCCCCACCCCCAGCGGCAGGGAGGCTGGGGAAGGAAAGGGAAGCCACCCTGACCCTTCCAGTCAGTTTCACTCTGGGAGGAACAGCTTAGCTTTAACAGTTGATGAGAGGGAGTGAAACTGACCAAAAGTGGAGGGCAGCTTTCTTTTCCTCCCCCAGTTCCCCACAGCCCTGGGGAGGCTGGGGAAGGGAAGGGAAGGTGTCCTGCTGCTTCTGGTCAGTTTCACTCCCCTCCTGTCAGCTGTTAAACCTAACAACTGGTCCTCCCAGAGTGAAACTGACCAGAAACTGCAGGGTGGCTTCCATTTCTGGGGGGGGGGACGGGACTGCAGGGCTAGGTGCACTGGGGATCAGGGTGCCTGGCATCATCACGTGTGTGGGTGGTGGGGCTCTGCCCCTAAATGGCTATGGGCCTGGACACCAACAAGATTTTCAGGGTATGCATAAATCAGCAGTTGATCTGCATATGTTGATCTGTACAGATTAGCAGTCAAAGCTCCTCCGCTGACACCTGGATAGAAACATCACTTGCTAATGTCTGAAGCTCAGGCTGCTATCAAAAGCACAGGAGCAGGCCCAGTCAAAGTAAGTTGGCAGTTCTATTCAGTTCCTGGCGTCATTTCCTGTACTGAGAAGGTCATAATCTTAAACACAGCCGTCTCCTTTCTGGCGCTGCCCCCCTCCCCATCATGATGCCCCTG